CCTCTCTTACTTTATATATGCATGTATATATATATATATAGTTACTTGGGATTATTAGCATCAACGAACCCCCCTAAGAATAAGAAGAAGAAGAGATACTTCTTTTACGCTGAGCACTAACTTTTCTCACGGGTGTGAATATACGTTTTGAAAAATGTGCCATCCAGCATTTTCATTCTTCTTCTTCTTCTTTTTCTTATATTTTTTTTCTATCTATCTATCTATCTATCTATCTATCTATCTATCTATCTATCTATCTATCTATCTATCTATCTATCTATCTATCCTTTTCTTATTATTCTTTCGTCGATCGATAGAGTCTGTGCGCTCATCCATTCATATGCTTTCTTTTCCCTGTTAAAAGAAGTGTGTTTCGTTGGTACAATGATCGTTCGTAAAAAGAAGAGAAACGTGTATCGGGTTGGTTAGTTGGTTGGTTGGTTGGTTGGTTGGTTGGTTGATGTTACCTTGACATTGCTCATTTTCTTCTCTCTGTGCATTCTTAACTGACTATATCGATGTATAGGATCAAGAAAACGTATGGTGAAACGCACAGGAAATTTAAAACAATGACGCACATATATTACCCTTTCCGGTCATCCTGCTTGCTGCTGCTTATTTGTGTGTTGGTTGCAGTTTAATGACGTCATGCTCGCTAATGACGTAGACAATACCGCTAACGTAAAACGAAATAGTGAATGCAATAAAATGTAATCTCAAATGAGAAACAAACCATGACAACAACTTAACTTAGTAGTCAGTGAAAAAAAAAAAATATTTCACCCACGCAAATTAGATTTGCGAGAGAGAAGGTGTTGTGTTGTTGCTATCAGAAGAAGCTTATAAAAAAGAAATAAAAAATATGAAATTATTTGAAAAGAAAGAAAGAGAGAGAAAGAATCAGAGTATACGTGGGTTTATTTCACGAGAAAACAAAAAAAAAAAGGATGAAAGAGATAAAGATAGAAAGATATTGCCTTATGATATATAAACAGCTGTTGAGCTCATGGTCGAAGCACGCGGGACGAGTACTACTCTCTTCTCCTATATCCATCTGGAACTTTTATCTTTAACTCTCGATCAATGATTTATCGTCGTATCTCCTCCTTCTCTACAAATTTCTTATCATCTTAAAGAAACGTGTGAAAATTTTGTTCAAGAAAATAATTCAATACGATACAACGAAGAAATTTATTTAACATTCAATTGAATCCTTGTATTAGGTTGGCAACTAAGTAATTGTGAATTTTAAATAAGAACAAAAATTCCAAATTTTGGATTCAAAATATAAGTTTATTCAATTGGGTACACATTTTTGTTGTCAGGCAGTGTCATAATGCCACCTTCATAAAATTTCTGATCTTTGCTATCAAAAAACAATTAGGTGTAAAACAAAATTCGCAATTACTTAGTCTCCAACCCAATATTATTATTTTCTTTTGCAATCAAAAAATAACAACAAAAACAATTACAGTAGAAATAGCAACAAGTTTCAGATATCTTTTCGTATTATCGTACGAAAAGGTAGGGGAACACTTTTCACGTGGGGGTCGTCGTTATAGTAAATGCTACGAGCATATAAGGAAGGAAGGAAGGAAGGTTATAACGTCTTACGTGCCTTTCGAAATCCCAGTGACAGCGGGGATTCGCTTGGCAACCGAAACCGAACCATACGTACGTTCGAGAGACGGCATTAACACTTCTGGAGTGTGCATCGTAACCGGTGGCACGAGAGAGAAAAGAAAAAGAAAGGAGGACGACTACGACGACGACGACGACGACTGCGACATGGATGAGAAGTAGGAGGAGGAAGAAGAAAAAGAACAACAAGAAAGAAGAAGAAGAAGAAGAGGAGGAGGAGGGGGTGGTGAAGCTCTCGTAGCTGCTCCATCGGTACATTCCTATGCAACGGTAGAGACCGATCGGGGAACGACGTGGACTAGGGGTAGGGGGTGAAGGAAAGGGGAGGGGGAAGAGAGGTCTCGGGAATTCTGCATATCCGTTGGAGATGCAGCTCGGCTAACTATGCGCTTAGGTGGCAACCGTGTCCGAGACTGCCTACCTTGACTACTTCGAACTCTACCGAAGTATAATACTTTCCTACTACCTTTCGAAAGGAAACCATTTTTTTTATTTTTTAATCAACATAAGAAGTGAAATGAAATCAAATCAACCAAGAGATATATAAATAAATTGATGATAGAAAATTTCATTAAACGTTTTACTTAAGTTTTGATATATTATTTATACGTTTTTGAATAATGATTGATCATGTAGAAAAAAAGAGAGAGAAAGAGAGATAGTTGAGATGCATAGGAAGGAATAAAAAAAAAAAGAAAAAAGAAGGAAGAAGGTCATTTACGACCCAGTAAACGTAAATGGATTAAGAAAAGTTTCATCCTTCCACTGGAGTTTTCCGTGAAATTTTTTTTTCAACTTTCAACGAATTTTTTTTCTCTCTTTCTCTTTTTGTTTGTTTCTGTCTCTTTTTCTCTTGTTTTTTCTTTTTTCTTTAGTTTACGATTAATTAGCTGTAATTTACATAAATCATACGTTCGAAAAGGGTGAATTTGAACGGAGAGGTGGGAAGAAGGGGAGAAAAAGAACCGCGTTAAATAGGCACGAGGATCGCGTGCTTTCGAAAATAAAATTCGTGGAGTGAGAATGCTAGAAAATGAGTGAAGAAGAGAGGAGAGGAAAAGAGAAGAAAAAGAGAGAGAGAGAGAGAGAAAGAGAGAAAAGTTCGATCGTATTCTCCAGCTGTCTCGCGTTCCGCTCCGGTGCCGTTACCGCGACGGCACAAAAGCACAAGGATATCGATAAAACGGACGGCGATATAAATAACGCGAATGTATCCGTGATTAGTAAGCCGGACGAAGAGAGAAAGAGAGAGAGAGAGAGAGAGAGAGAGAAAGAGAGAAAGGGAAAGAAAACCTGATCGCCTAACGGACGGACGGTGCATCGAAAAGAAAGAAAGAAAGAAAGAAAGAAAGAAAGAAAGAAAGAAGCTTTGGTGAAACGGCATTGCATGTTGTGTGTTCCTGTAATCATCGTCTTACAGC